CAGGCAGATAGATATAGATAGATAAAAGATAGATGATAAAAGATAGAGATGACAGACAGACACAGACAGACAGACAGACAAAGATTGGAAGGCAGGCAGGCAGACAAATAGGTATCAATGCCATATAATTAGTATAATTTATAATTAGATATATCTGCTCATCCAGGAGGTTAGTGAAATTGATACCTGTGCCTGTCTGGATTGGATGAGCATTTTTGCCTGATGTTTTTCAGTTTTTGTTTTTTTTTTAAAAATTAAGATTGTTAAAACGTTAAACTTTTTGTAATGTTGTAATTTTGGGTTGTTGTTTTTCTTTCTTGTTAAATGATTCTTTGCACCTTGCTTTGAGCTTATTTTCAAAATGAAAAAAAAAGCAAGGTACACCTTGTATGATCAATGTGCTAAATTGATTTAGCTTGTGGCTGGTTCACTGCATTCCACTGGGTCACCTCTAAGTTGGTCCAGGTGCAGGAGAGAAATGAGCTCCCTGTTGAAGGACCAGCCATTGCAAAATAGAATGAAGAAAAATGGCCTTGTTAGCGAAGACATTCCCCTCCATCCTTAAAATTTCCGCTGCCTTTTCATGCCAACAAGCTGAGGCAATGAGTAACCATTGTCATTTTTGCACCAGACAGCTTTATCCCCCTTGAAATATCTCATCCCTTGAATGATTATAAAATGTCACAAGTGATGTACGTTTAATTGGCCCCAGTGCTAGTTCTACAGGGCACCTTCCTATGTTTGCTATAAAGGAACAGACAGATAACCAGCGGGACCAAGAGACAAAGGAGGATAACTTAAATTTCCTTTTTTTCCCCCTAGGCTATGTTCAATGTACAGGTCCACACAACCAACTGGGATTTAAATGTACTGAATGTTCAAAATATGGCAGCTCTGTGGTTATGCTTACAGCCACTCTTTGAACTGCTGCTGGAAGTAAGCAGAATTCAGGGATAACTCATTTATGAAGTTTTTTAAAAAAATCCAAAAATTGCGCATCAGATAAACCCTTGCTTGGGAATATAGGAATCATGCAAACTGTAGAGCATAATTAATCAGCCACTTTGACATTCATTTTATCACGCACTGGATCAAGGTATCAGGATTCTGGCGATTGCCCTAATTAAATCATGAGCCCCGGGCCAAGCTTCAAAAGAAACCAAAAGATTTATTAGGAGCAACATGTCCGGCATTAACCTGTATGAAGCCAACTCTGGCATATGTAATTTACAGTCATCTGTGACCCAGCTTCCCCCTCCCACCTGGGTGTGTCATAAATCAGATTCTCCAATGAAGCACATTCACAGGCTGGGTGTCATCAATCACGTTCTCCAATTAAGGATTTTCATGGGCAGAAGATCTGATAGCTTAGCTACAATCTTTGTAAGATAAGTGTTGGAATGTACTTCTGGTTTTATATTGACATACTGCTCCCTCAGATTTCCTCCCCCCCTTGGTTTATGGCAACTCTAAAACAGGCATAGAAATGCTTTACGAGTTGACGCAAGGAACAGAAGCAAAAATGTAGAACTTGTGTGCGACCCTTTAAAGCAGCTGCATCTTATCCCAGGAGCATGCCTTTTAGAGATTGCATTTGAACAGACACCAGGGTTCAAAACAGTCATGATCACAGTCATGATGGTGCAAGCTCCGTTCATTTGTGTGTGTGTGATGCACATTAAAAAAAGGCAGTTGCATCATTGGGACTAGTGCCTTTACCTTTTTTTAACCAAACACTGCAGAACCCTCTGACCAGAGGTGGTATTTAGCAGGCTCTGACCAGTTCTGGAGAACCAGTAGCGGAAATTTTGAGTAGTTCGGAGAACCGGCAAATACCACCTCTGACTGGAGATTTTACAGTATCTTTTCCCTGCCACACCCACCAAGCCATGCCCACAGAACTGCTAGTAAAAAAATTGAATCCCACCACTGCCTCTGATCACTATCTTATGTGAGTCCAGACCATTACTCCATCTATTCCAGAACTGAGTGTCAACACTGCCTGTAAATCTAAGTTTTGAGCAGAAATTTCTCCAAATTTGCCTGACAATGTCAGGGACTGAATCTCAAACTCTGGTCATACAAAACTGGAGCCTAACCATTAAGCCATTGATCCTTCCTGTGGGAGAATTTTGCCTGGCCAGGTGTTTCCGGTGATACAGATTTGCCAGTGAGAAACAAGGTGGAATGAATCTCAGTAATTATTTAATTCCAAGATCTCTTTCCAAACACACTTGCTAAATAAAACAGCAGCACAGTTCCATGCTGTATTGAGGCAGTAAACAGACAAAACTGTAATGTAAGTCTCTTATCTGTCAGGTCCTTGGTGTTCTCCGAGTTTCATTACCAAACTAGGTAACATCACTAGCACTGATGATGTTGCCTAGTTTTGTAATTTAAAGGTCTTCAAGAAAGCCACCAAGCTCAGAGAGCACCAAGGACCCTGCATTCAATCCTGGTCTACAAATATTGTCCTCTGTACATCTCTTATCTAAAAACTAACTGAACCCAACCCAACCCAACCCAACCCCAATACATGTGGTTCTACCTCTTTTACACTCTTTCTGGTTAAATGTGGTTCACAGGCATTCAAAAGTTGACGGCCTCCAGAATAGAGAGCTCTACCTTCCACCATCATACCTGATAGCCTGTTGCATGAAGCGGTCAGGATCCACTGCTGAAAAAGTCATGAGTGCTGTCCCCGTAGGCACACCCTCTTCCAGCCTGATGAGTTTGTGGTTTGTTGGGAAGTAGGGTGGCTCATTGACATCAGTGACGGAAATGGTGACTCCGGCTGTAGACTGGAAGGACATTTGGATCCCACTGGCAAGGGGAGCTTGATTGGACACCATCACCGTCAACATAAAAGCTCGGTTCATCTCATAATCAACTTCCTGAAATCAAACAGAGGCACATGGGAGAGGCATGATCACTCAGTATTCTATGGTCTTAGGTTTGTTTAGGTATTGACCAGAATGCTGGATTGGTTTTATAAGGAAGAAGTAGTAGTTCTGTAGATGGTCTATGTGCTACTGTGTGCTAAGGCAGGCCTTGTTGTATTTCGCTGGCAGCCGGTGCAGACGGCAGTGGAGCCGGACAGTGAGGAAGAAAGGGAACCAGTCAGGGAGTCTGGAGAGGACTTGGACAAGGGTCCTGCGTCTGATGCAGGGACGGGGCCAGGACCATCTGGGAGGAGGCTGCTGCCTTCGGAGTCTTTGGAGTCTGGCAGCAGCGAAGCAGATGAACCAGGGGAGCCTGTTCCCAGTGCACACAGAGCTGCTAGAAGGCAAGAGCAGCTGAAGCAGAAGGGCGACTTGGGAGTAAGGCTGGGAGGTGATTGCCGCTCCCATAAGGGATAAAAGTCAGACCTCAATGACAAACGCTTTGCAGGAAGCAAAGCAGTTCAATTAGAGTCTGAATCCTTCTTGAAACTCTGTGTACTCTGGTCAGGTTTTTTTTATACTTTGGGTGGGTTCTATTATAATTATTTTGATAACTTCTGTTTTTGGCAGCATTCCACAGCACTGAGAAGTGTGGGCTTATCTTGGGGAACTGTGTTTAATTGGTTCTGGCTGGGAATGCAAGTAATTCCCAGCGTTGCAATAAAATAGGTTTTGCTTTTAAAATAAGTTTGTGTTTAAGTATATTTGACAAAGCCTGGGTCAGAACAGGCCTGTCCTTTGACTAGCTAGTTGAAACTAGAAAAAAACAAGAGTCCAATGGCATTTTAGAGGAATCTTCTGGGGAATATGGCTAACTGGATACACGCACTGGGAGAGATCTCTGAAGGATTTCTCCCTGGAGTGTTACTCTTCTACCTTTTAACTGAAGGGACTGATATCCCATCAGTTTTTATGACCCACTCTGTTTGGGTGTCTCAAAGAACTTCTCCTCAGGACCCTTCGATCCAGCTGTAAGCCAGCCGATTGCTTTTGGAGTTGAACTCCGAAGCTGTCTGCGTGCCATAAACTAGGAGGGGAGGAGCTGCAATCTGTTCAGGGGTTGAAGAAGCCCTCCATTTTGAAATTTATTTTTCAAACAGACAGTAAGTTATGCCTTCCTTTCTTAATCACCTCCCAAGACTATTATTCTATCTAAAATCAATTTAATAAGGGCTGTTTCTAGCAACAAGGCAGGCTTGTTGCTTGACTAGGAAGTTGAAACTAGAAAAAAACACAAGAGTCCAATGGCATTTTAGAGGAATCTTCTCAAACTTGGCACTTTGCAACCGGATTGGGATTGCAAATTTAAGAATTCAGAGTTCTATCCCACCTCATCTGAAGGGCACCTAGTTTGAAAAGTCTTGAAAAATTATGGGTAGCAAACGCTAATGATTTCTCTTCCAGTGCAATGAGGGTATTATTTTGTCCAAAAATCAAAACTAAAACCCCAATTGTCATACTTTTACTGCTGATGCAGTAAAAAAAGCCTTTGTAGGTATCTATTGACTGTCTGTATAAACTCACAGAAACACAAAAGATGAATGGTAAGACATTGTTTGAAAAAAGAAAATCCTGCACTGGGAACTAAATGCAAGGGCTGTAGACCAATTAAATTTGCCACTGAGTTGTGTTCAGGGTAGCTTCTTCACAGGGAGGCACACTGTATTAAATCTATTTGTGAGTAGACAGAGACACAAGTAGTCACTGGAAGGGTCATTTGGTTTAAAAATGGGTGCAACTGATGTAGAAGATGAATTGGTGAAAAGACCTTCTTGGTCATAGTGGCCACCAGGGACTCCATCTGAGTCTCAAGATGGAAAATGACCAGAGTTGCAGGTCCTGTATACCCATTAACACTTAGCCTTGTTAGGATTGAACCTGAGTCTATTCCATCCATCTGGACCCTTACAGCCTTGCGAAACAAGACCGTAACAACATTGTGTGGGAAGCCAGTTCATGAAGTACAAATTGGTGTTGTAGGCATATTGAAGATCCCTGATGCCAAGCCAATGGAGGACCTCAGAGGGATAGTTTCATGTTGATGTTACATAAAAGAAAGCCTGAAGTCTTTACCCTTTCCCTGTTGTCAACACCTACTGGAACTGGCCACAGAAAGAGGAGAAGCACCCAATATACATGATGATGAGACAGACAGAGCAAGTCTTAATAGATCAATCCATTTCTGTTTGGCAGGTTACAATAGATTGGTTCATTATAAAAGGCTGTTTTAGATAGAAAGAATCTGAAACACCTAAATATGATTAAGAGCAGGGTTGGGCTGAGGAGATGATGGAAGCCCCTTATTGCTGCTGAATTAATAGTTAATTTCATATGGTTTCCAATCACACGGTGTTCCCAAAAACCTTTTTTTTATTTCAACGGCTGTGAATTATATGCATTCACAGCCCGTAATGAGTCCCAAACAGTTTATGAATAGTCCAACAGAAAACTGCCCCAGTCGTTCGGGATAAGGCTGATAAGCACCCACCTTTATCTTCCTTGAAATACTGCCAATGACTAAATTGCCAATTAGCTGTACAAGGCCAAATGGAGCACAAAGTCAACACACAGCTTCAGATTTTAAACCGACTAGAACGAACAAAGTTGCTTCCTGCAAAGGCTCATGTCCCTTTGCTCTTCCTTTATGTCTTATGGGAAGGGCCAATCATCTCCAAGCTTTACTCCCAAGTTGCCCCTTTTGTCTTAACTGTTCTTGTCTTCTGGTAGCTCTGCGCACATGCGCACTGGGAACAGGCTCCCCCTGTTCCTCTGCCTCGCTGATGTCAGATTCTGGAGGCTCCGGAGTCAGCACATAACTCTCAGATGGCCCTGGCCCCATCTCTGTGTTGGATGCAGATCCTTTGTCTGAGCCCTCCCCAGACTCCAGGACTGGCCCATGTTCCTCCCCAGTGTCCGACTCTGCTGCCAGCTCCACAGGTTGGCAGCAGACCACAACAGTTGCCTGTCTTGCAAGAAATATCTTTATACTTATTACTTAAATCCATCCATCCATCCATCCATCCATCCATCCATCCATCCTCTCCTCATATGGCCTCATATGAATCTATGGCTTGATATAAACTTGCTAGTGTCACATTCGGACAGACCAGTAATGATTAAGTTAGCACTCTCTGATACTTATTAGATCACCTCTCAAGAAGCCAGAATAGCATAGTTAATTCTGGCACTGAGGATAGCAAATGAAACATTGCTGGAAGGCTTTTAAGCGAGAATAGCTTGCTGCAAGTAAAATATTAGGAGAGTGCTTAAAAGAAGGATATATACAGCCTTGCAAAGAGCTATACAAACAGAATTTGCTGAAATAATTAGATTCAGGACACTGAATCACAGACCGAAGTTTTATAACTTAATATGGAATGAATCACTGCGACTAAGCCATGGACTCACTTTTTAGTACCCTCAGAAAGGGCGTTATTTTCTGAGATATCAGAAGATAAAAGCTTCTTCAATTTCAAATGTCCAGGTAGTTCTCGACTTACAACAATTCATTCAGTTCAAAGCTACAACAGCACTGGAAAAAAAGTGCCTTATGACTGTTTTTCACACAACCATTGCAGCATCCTCCTGGTCACGTGATCAAAATTCAGGCGCTTGGCAACTGACTTGTAATTATGACGGTTTCAGGGTCCCGGGGTCATGTGATCACTTGTTGTGACTTTCTGACGGGCAAAGTTAATGGGGAAGCCAAATACACTTTAACGACCGGGTGGCTAATTTTACACTGCAGTCAGTGATTCACTTAACAACCATGGCAAGAAAGGTCGTACAATGGGGGGGGGGGGGAAATTACACTTAACAACGGTCTTGTTGAGCATCAGAAATGTTGGGCTCAATTGTGGTTGTAAGTCAAGGACTACCTCAGTGGTGGGATTCAATTTTTTTTTTTACTACCGGTTCTGTGGACGTGGCTTGGTGGGCGTGGCAGGGATGGATACTGCAAAATCCCCATTCCCTACCCACTCCTGGGGGAAGATTTTGAACTTTCTTAAGGCAGCGGGAGCTATAAAGCTCTTCCAAAGAGGGGAGAAGGCAACCAATGATCTTCTGGGCAATGACGTTAACCCTCTGGAGTGCTGTCCTATCTACCACTGTGCAATTGGCAAACAATACAGAAGTGCAGTAAGTTAAGATGCTCTCTATGGTGCAGCGGTAGAAGGTCACCAGCAGTTTTTCATCCAGTTGTTGTTTTCTGAGAAGTCTCAGGTAGCATAATCTCTGCTGGGCCCTTTTGACCAGGGCTGCCATGTGAGCACCCCAGGTCAGGTCCTCTTTTATGAAAATTGTTGAAGGAAGTCAGTGGTGGGATTCAAATTTTTTTTTACTACCAGTTCTGTGGGCATAGCTTGGTGGGCATGGCATGGCTTGGTGGGCATGGCAGGGGAAGGATATTGTAAAATCTCCATTCCCACCCCACCCCACTAATCTGCTTTCCAGCTCCGTTCTCCTGTGCAGGGCAACAAAAGAAGACCCAGCCGATCAGCTGGGACTCGGGAGCAGGGGTGGGATTCTACCGGTTCTGTCCACCTCTGTAGAACCGGTTGCTCTGAAGAGCAGCAGACATAGAACTGGTTCTATGTCTGCTGCTGTTGTGGCCCAACCGCCCGCCCGGGCTGTTACCTGACCTTTATTTCCTGCTTTTTCAATTGCAGCTGCTTTGCGTGACACAGCTGCAGTTGAACAAGCAGGAAAAAGGGGCTTTTCCAACCGCTGCACACTTGCACGCAGCGCTGCTCAGCTGTCTGGGCAGCTCAGCAGGTTGTAAATTGCACTTGTGCGCACAACACTAATAGACAGAACCGGTAGTTATGCCAGTTGGATCCCATCCCTGCTCGGGAGGCAGAGAATAGATGGGGGCGGGGCCAGTCAGAAGTGGTATTTGCCAGTTCTCTGAACTACTCAAAATTTCTGCTACTGGTTCTCCAGAACTGGTCAGAAGCTGCTGAATACCTCCCCTGGACTACCTGTATTGGGGTACATAACCCAGGAAGGGGGAGCCCTTAAGTTTCAGTGGGAGGAGACACCCACTTTCTCTTCTCTTTATGGAGGAAAAGCAAGCTGCTCTTTCTAGATTTGGAGATATAAATATCCTTTTTAGCAAGAGGAATGAAGGGGGTTCATGTTTCTTAACACATTGTTTTTCTTGTTTGCATTTTCTTGTAGGCCAAAATACTTGCTATTACTAGTTACAGTATTATGTATTGCTTAGTCAAAGGATTTGGTGGCGTTTGTTAAATGAAGTCAGTTGTGTTTATGCTGGCCAGGTTGCATCTGGCTTCAATGAACTGATTTGTTGAACGGCATTGTTTTTAATTTTAATACATCTACATGATTTTAATTCTTCTAACATGGGTGATTAAAGATCGGCTTTAACCATCCATTAGGGGGCAGGACGGCTCAGCAGTTAAAGATGTTGAGTTGTCAGCTGGAAAGCTGGCAGCCTGAGGTTTGAAACCAGGGTACCATGCAGTGGGGTGAGTTCCCCTTACATACCCAAGCTCCTTCCCACCTAGTAGTTTGAAAGCATGCATATGCGAGTAGATACACTTTGATGGGAAGGTAACAGCATTCCACGTACCTTGGCATATTGTTATGCTGGGCACGTGACCACAGAAGTGTCTTCAGACAACGTTGGCGCCCTTGGCTAAGAAATGGAGATGTGCACAGCCCCCTTAGAGTCAGACATGACTGGGCAAGGAAAACTTTTATCTTTAATCATTCGTTAACAACCTAGAGATCTTGTAGCGTTTCCACTTTTCTTTATGTTTGAATTATATATCCAAAAGCTTAGAAGAACCTTTGCTAGTGGCTCCTAATTTGGAAAGGATCACTGTAATTACTTAAGTAGTACATATAATGCAGATAAATAAGATGGGATTTGAATTGTCTTTTGTGTTTGTTTTTTTTAACTCTAAGGGCATTTTTAGCTATAAGGAATAAGTAATCCTCTAGTTGTTATGTCTGGAAAAAGGCAAACAGTAACAGAGTACATCTCTCTTTCAAATTCATTTCTACATTCCTTGCAACATTCAGATAATGTTTTAGGGAGCCACAGAGCACCTCTGTTCCATGTTTGGGGAATTTGCTCAGACCCTGTAAAATGATCCCTTCCCCACTTTGCCTGATTTATGCAAGGCTTGTGATGGAGATAAGTAACTTCTGCCACAGAGGGAATGGTTCTTGTTGCGGTGAAAAATAAAATTGGAACTGTACATCATAGGTGTCTCTTGGCACGCTTGTTTCAATGGCAGAAGAGCTTAGGATGGAAGCTGCATAAAAGATACAAAATAGAGTTGGAAGGGACCTTGGAGGTCTTCTAATCCAACATCCTTGCTCATGCAGGAGACCCTATAATATATTCTCCCTCTCTCATTCTCTCTCTCTCTTATTCCGTCTCTCATTCTCTCTCTCTCATTCTCTCTCATTCATCATTCATTCTCTCTTATTCTTTCTCTCTCCTCTCTCTCTCATTCTCTGTCTGTCTGTCTGTCTGTCTGTCTGTCTGTCTGTCTGTCTGTCTGTCTGTCTCTCTCACACACACACCCCCAAAAAACAGGTTGGATCTCTCTTTCTTTCCTTCTGCCCCACCCACCAGAAACCCCTAGATTCCCTCCCCAACCCTGTCTGTCTCATATAGGCACCGCCCACATGAGTGACATAGAGTTGGCCATGCCCACTCAGTCACATGAGACCACACCCCCCCACCAACCATGCCCACCCAGTCACTAGGAAGAACCAGTTGTGAAATTATTTGAATCCCACCACTGGTAGTGAAACCTCAGCATTCAGGTTAAATTGCCGTGTCGCAATAAATAAGTGGGTTTTGGGTTGCAGTTTGGGCAATCCATCCGTAAAAGGTTCGCTATCACTGCCCTATACCACTTCAGACAAGTGGCTATCCGGTCTCTTTTTAAAAGCCTCCAGAAAATCTGGGTGAAGCTGCTTGCAGAACCACCAGGCTGCAAGGGATGGTTTGTTTTCCAATTCAAATAAATCTTGCACCATTCACACACAGGATGCAGAAAGTTAGGTCCCCCTTCTTTTAGAACATAGAATAATAGAGTTGGAAGAGACCTTGAGAGCCTTATCCAGAGGATAATTCCCACTTGACAAAAAAAGTTCTGACAAGGCAATCTTGCTGATATGGATCAAAGCCCTCATTTTTTCCCCCCACCACAACTGCCAAGTTTCCCCTTTGTGATGGACTGATTTCTTCAATAATGGCTCAGCTTATACTACGGGAAGACTGGCAAAGTCTGAACAGAGCTGAATGCCCCCCTTACACTGCCACATTCCGACTCACGGCACCCAAGATAGGAAGGTTTTCAGTCGGATGTGAAGCTAAAATGGTATTGAATGGGCAAAGCTTTATAAGTCAGCTGGATGGAATTTTGAGCTGCATGTAGTATTGACTTGATTTTTTTTTCCTGTTTCTAAAAATCAATTTTACTTTTAATAAGAAAGCTATAATGTTATGCCCTCTTCCTATTGGATCTTGAATCCATACCTGTGCAGTTCCAGTGACACACCTGTCCACCCATCCACCTATTCCATCCCAACCCATCTCTTCATCCCTCCCTCCATCCCATCCTTCCACCCCTCCACCCCTCATTCCACCTCGCCCCATCCCGTCCCATCCCATCCCATCCCATCCATTCAACCTGTGCCATCCCATCCCATCTCACCCAATCCCATCTCTCCCTCCCTCCCATCTCTCCCTCCATCTCTCCCTCCCTCCCACCATCCCATCTCTCCATCCATCCCATCTCTCCATCCATCCCTGTCTCCCTCCCTTCCCCCATTCCTTCCCTTCCCTTCCCATCCCATCCCATCTCACCCCTTCCCTCCCTCCTATTCCATCCATCCCATCCACCCACCCACCCATGCATGCATCCATGCATCCATCCATCCATCCATCCATGCATTCAGCTATCCACTTGGCTCTATAATGTGGTGGTTGCTGTATTCATTGAATGCATTGCCTTCATGAATCAGATCTGCACAAAAGTTTGGACCAATTTTTCTCCAAACTCAAATCTCCCTAGAACCTGCCTGTGGAAAAAGTCCCCAGATAATGAGAGACATACATACCCTCACAACAGTTACCAAGCCTTCATTGGTAACAGGATCAGTCCTAACGGTAAAATGACCGGAAGGGTCTCCACTGATTATTCGGTAAACAGCGTTCCAATTGGGCGAGTGAGGTTGATCTCGGTCCATCACAGTCAAATTAGCGATAACAACTTCTATCCGGTTTTCTGGAACTTCACCAGAATACTGAAAATAGAGAAAAAGGTTCCATTAGAAGTGTCTTTGTGTGTGTGTGTATGTGTACAGAAGTATCCCAATACATTTAGAGTTATTCAAACATCTTACACACACTGTTGAGAAGGCATGAAGAAAAGTTTTATCCTCCAGTTTTGTCTTCCTTCATCATGTCCATAGTTCCCACTTTCAAAAGCTGTATCTTAAGCAAGAGATATTTGTCCCCAGTAAATAAAGTTTTATGTATTGTATAAAGGACATTAATTCTACCAGCCCTACAGCTCATTGTTACTCCCTTATTAAGAAGCTCAGATCAGATATTTCCCCATTATTCAAACCTTCGATGCTCTGGGCTTACCTTGTCCCCTCTCTACAGAAAACCTCAGCTTTCACCAGATAAATATAGTTGCAATTCATCATAAACTCTTGTGATTTCACCATAGAGTTATAGACTTGGAAGGGGCTCTGGCTATATGGATTATCTAGTTGAGCCTTCTGCAATGTACAAGGAAATAACCCATTTAAGGTAGCTACCTAGCCTCTTCTTTAGAGACTTCCAGAGATGAAGAATATGAGCGAGTGGATGATCACTTAAACATGAGTAAATAGTTTGTGGCAGCAGCCAAAAAAGCAAATACAATCCTTGCAGTGGTGGGATTCAATTTTTTTTTACTACCGGTTCTATGGGCATGGCTTGGTGGGCGTGGCTTGGTGGGCAGGGCAGGGGAAGGTTACTGTAAAATCCCATTCCTTCCCCACCCCACTAACCTGCTTTCCAGCTCCGTTCTCAACAAAAGAAGACCCAGCCAATCAGCTGGGACTCGGGAGGCAGAGAATAGATGGGGCGGGGCCAGTCAGAGGTGGTATTTGCCGGTTCTCCCAACTACTCAAAATTTCCGCTACCGGTTCTCTGGTCAGAACTGGTCAGAACCTGATGAATACCACCTCTGAATCCTTGGTTGCATAAACCAAGGCATAAAATCAAAATCACGTGAAGTATTAGTACTGCTTTATAAAGCCTTAGTAAGGCCACACCTGGAATACTGCATTCAGTTTTGGTCACCACATTACAAAAATGATGTTGAGATTTTGGGAAAAGTGCAAAGAAGAGCAACCAAGATGATTAAAGTTCTGGAGACTCAAACATGTGAAGAACGGTTGCAGGATTTGGGTTTGGCTAGTCTAGAGAAAAGAAGGAGGGGCGGGGGATATGTATTTGAGAGGCTGCCACAAAGAGGAGGGGTCAATTTATTTTCCAAACCAGAAGGCAGGACAGGAAACAATGGGTGGAAAGTAATCAAGGAGAGAAGCAGCCTGGAATTAAGAAGAAACTTAAAGTGAGGACAATTAAACAGTGGAACAGTTTACCTTCAGAAGTGGTAGGTGCTTCATCACTGGAGGTTTTTAAGAAGAGACTGGACAGTCACTTGTTTGAAATTATATAGGGTCTCTTGCTTGAGCAGGGGGATGGACTAGAAAACCTCCAAGGTCCCTCCCATCTCTATTCTGGTTGATTGACTGAGTTTGGAAGAGTTCATGTGTTTATATCAGAAAATTGTAGCCCTTGATGATAGCCATAGCCATAGCACTTATACATCACTAGTGGCCCTCAAAGACCATCCTGGCTCATAGCAAAATTTCATATGCATTCATATTAATTGAAGGAATGGAAGGAGGCTTTCTTCTGAATAGGAGTCCAAATGGAACATAAGATACTCAATAAGCAACCGGCTTTCCTCTTGACTACTTCAGTAAAGTGTTTGCATATGTTTGCATTGTCCTTGCAGGCAACTGACCTGCCCAAGGCCAGACCATAAGGTTGCATCCTCCAATATGTTGCTCCTGCCTAGAGCATTTGCAATCTAAGTCCACTGCAAGACCTCAAACTTCAGATCAATTCTTCTCCCCAAGTGGTAGAGTTGGTTGGCTGTTTATTACAATTCTTTTAAAAAGACATCTTCCTTCAGGCTTATATATTACCCTATTAAACACTGGGCTTTTAATGAATAGCATAAAGTTACTGTGCTCACATGAAATCCAAATTACTGCTAAATTATTGTCAAAGTGTACTCAGCCCCCAAAGTAAAAGGGAATATTGCACCACCTATCCATTTTCTGTCCGTCTCCTGACCTTCCCTCTTCCACTTATCAAACCCAGTTCCCTGCTTTCCTCTTCGCTCAAGGCAAAGGAATGCATAACATTCAATGTGCTTGTTGATGATTTTTGGAGGGTTTGGGATGGAGGTGATAGCAATAGCAATAGCACTTAGACTTATGTACTGCTTTATAGTGCTTTACAGGCTTCTCTAAGTGGTTTACACTTACAGAGTCAGTATACTGCCCCCAACAATTTGGGTCCTCATTTTACCCACCTCGGAAGGATGGAAGGCTGAGTCAACCTTGAGCCTGGTGGGATTTGAACTGCCAAATTACAGGCAGCTGGCTGTCAGCAATAGTAGTTTGCAGTACTTCACTCTAACCACTGCACCACTGAGGCTCCTTATCCTACTGCTTTGGAGGTGTGGTGGCTCAGTGGCTTAGTGACACTAGAGATCATTTTTGCTTCACCAGTTTGAGTCCTAACACGGTGTGGTAGAGTGAGCTCCCATCACTCACCTGCATATCGCCACGTTTTGTTTTAAATGCGTTTTTAAAATAGTTTTAATATGGCTTTTATGTTTTAATTTTTGAGCAGGAACCACCCAGATTTGGTTACAAAATGGGCGGCTATATAAATATTTTAAGTAAAGAAATAAAGAATTTTCCCTCTGCATTTCTTTATTGCCTCGTCTCTTGAATTTCAGCTTGTAAAAATTTCTGGTGTCAGAATCTGCCAACTTATACTTTGAAAGTACAACACACGTCAATGTGAATAATAAATAATGACAATATACAGATTGGGGTTTTTTTGTTTTAAAAAAATCTTTAAAGTTAGATCTCCTCTCTGCTAAAGTTTGATTTGGGCAACTCAAGTTGGAAGGCAAGGCTGTATTAATGTTTTATAGGAAAGCTGCATTTTAAAGTGAATTTGGAAGCTTGAAATGTTAAAAGCACTTTCATCAAACGACTTGATTTTGGGGGCTGGTGAATGGCACCACATTCTCAGAGTTTGCCTTCCAGAACACAAGAGCCTTTCATCTGTAACTCAACACACCAGTAGGTTCCAGACCCTATCTTCTTAAGAAGAAAAATTTGAGACTTTAACCAAAATGGGATTTCATCCATGTTTTAGTAATGGAGCTTTTCTGTCAATGACTCAACTCTTCGGTTCAATGATACATTTCCTTGTTTAAGGCCAAAAATCCTTTTTATTTTTGTTGTTGCAATTTAGGTCAGCCTCTCAGTGTGGGAGAGAAATGTTAAAACTCTGATGTGATCAACAGTAGAGGCTTCCGTTTAAAAAAAAAATCAGAACATTCTCATTAAAAGGATATCTTTGCTTTTGGTCCCAATATTGTATAGCATGAAACAAAGATTATCCTCAAAACTTTGTGGAGGTGATTCAACTGCAGAACAGCTTGCTGTAGTGATTAAGGCACTGGCCTAGAGCCCAGGGAGACTGTGAGTTCTAGGCCTGCCTTAGGCATGAAAGCTGACTGGGTGACTTTGGACCAATCACCAGGAGATTGTGAGTTCAAATCCAACCTTAGACATGAAAGCTGTCTGGGTGATTTGGGGCCAATCTAGAGTTGGTATTCAGTCAGTTCTGACAGGTTCTGGAGAACTGATAGCAGAAATTTTGAGTAGTTGGGAGAACTGGCAAATACCAGCTCTGACTGGCCCTGCCCACATCTATTCTCTGCCTCCCGATTCCCAGCTGATCTGCTGGGTCTTCTTTTGTTGCCCTGCACAGGAGAACGGAGCTGGAAAGCAGGTTAGTGGATTGCTGAGGGAATGGAGATTTTGCAGTATCATTCCTCCAGGAGCGGGGTGGAAATGGAGATTTTGCAGTATCCTTTCCCTGCTACACCCACTAAGCCACGCCCACAGAACCGGTAGTAAAAAAATTTGAATATCACCACTGGGCCGCCAATCACCAGGGGACTGTGGGTTCTAGTCCCACCTCAGGCATGAAAGTTGGTTGGGTGACTTTAGACCAGTCCTTCTCTCTCAGCCCAACTCTCCTCGTAGGCTTGTTATTGTGGGGTAAATAGGGAGAGGAGGAAGTATTATATATATATATTTGTTGCTTCGAGATACTTATAAAGTAATAAATATGGGATCAAAACAAAATCAAATAATTAAACTGTTTTTCTGACTCTAGACCAGTTCTGAATCATGATATCCAACTGAAAGAATGTTCTGTACAAATTAAGCAAAATGCTCCTCTGTTTATTTATTCTTTTTACTTCTGCCAAGCCAATAGGAAGCAAAAAATAACAAATAAAAATGCATGAGTCCTGTTTGTTTCCTCTACGTCTCCCTAATCTTGTTAGAAAAGATAGTTGTAGAAGACTACCAATGGCTGATAGTGAAGAAAAATATATATGTTCAGAGTGGCATATTCCAACACCAGCAATTGGGGAACAAATCAAAAGAAAGCAGAACTGTTTCTTTGCTGGTCTGTGAGTTTCTCACAGCCTTCTCTTATTTTAAAGTTGATATAGATTTTCTGGTTCAAAATGATTCCCAAAGCACTTGAGAATATCTTTTCAGTATTGGGCACTCTATGGCGATCATTTAATCCATACCTGCCTAATAAGTTTTCATAAAGGAAGGTCCTAGCATGATACATTTACACTAGGACTTTTATTTTAACTTCCACTTCTTCTTTTAATGAACTTTTAAATTTTTCTTAACAGCAAAATAAATGGAACCGCAAGAATCTCAGAAACCAGATCATCGTGGACAAAATCTACATATGTGGATGTTAGGTATCAACACTGACTTGATCACCTATAATCAACCAGCCAGCCAGCCAACCAACCAACTAACCAACCAACCAACCAACCAACCAGAAAAGCAAAAGAAGAAAATAGATTGCAAGCATGTTAGAATTAACTTTACTTCCC